GTAAAGACCAATATTATTCTCAAGTACATGTAAATGAAAGAAGGGACAATGATTAAGGCATATCCCAGTGAATTTAATTATAATGAGGAAAAATTATTTTAAATTCTCGAAAATGTCTCGCCACCATAACCCAAAAAAAAAATAATAATAATTCAAATGCTTCGAAATGAATAGTCCATGATTTCTTTTTTACCAAAGAATAGTTAATGATGTAAAGTGATCCACGCGTGCCCTCGCGCACAAGCCTTCTATTTGTCAAGAAGAAAGCAAAAGAGAGCCACTCCCACTAACCCTTCCAGTAAATAAGCTAATCAAATAGAAACAAAAGAAAAATTAATTAAACTTAATATAATCAATTATTAATTAAGCCCTACTTGCCCACTTCCTTTTTTCAATGGCAGTTTTTAGTATCCGATTAAAAGTAAATATCTCAACATATTTATTGAATTAAATTTCGCTTGTAGAACTGTAGATATAGTAAAAGTGGGACTCCAAACTCTTCAAAAAAATTATTTTTTCGAGCAAAAAAGCTCTAAACTTAATTAACGGTGCAAAAATACATTAGATATGATAAATGTTGTATAATAAACAGGAACAAAAGCCATATACTAGCCTCTTCTGCTAAATTCAGCTATATGATTACACATAAAATCTCTCTAGCTAACAAAACACTTGAACCCACAAAAAAAAAAAATCAAAATGTCTAATACATAATAATCTAACAAAAAATGTGAAATCCAGCTGAATTTAAACTTGTTCCTGCCCCTTAAAATAAATTATACTAATTAACACCAAATATAATACCCTGTGTTATTCATAAAGCACCTAGCTAGCTGAGCTAATACATAAAAGATTTATATAATTAATCATTTGGTAGTCCCTACATCATTCTCATATACGCGCTTGTACCTGGCCCAGCATTGAAGGGTCACTTCCTTTTCTTTCCTTTCCTCGCTGCTTTTCCTTTTGTTCTCTTCAGCTTTTTTCTCTTCAGTCTCCTTCCAAGTCTTTGGCCATTTACTTTCCTCATTTCTTTTCTTTTGTTTTTGTTCCCAAACTCTAATTAATTAACCAGAGAGATAAATATTATATATATATATAAGGGGTAATTTTATGAAAATATGACTAATTGGGGTGTGAGTATTTGGACTATTGAATTCACTGAATTCATGATTATTATATATAATCAGTTGTGGGAATTTAATAGTGAAAATACTCAACCTGCTCAGGAAAATAATGATAATGATAATAATAATAACTAAGTCTCTCTTCATAAAATTACCCTCTTTTTTTCTTGGGGGTTTAATTAATTAGTTGTTTTATCTGATGAGTGTCCCTCCAAATGACGGCGTCCAGAAATCCACAGGTGTTTCGTTTGTCACTGGGAATGTGCTTGAAATAGGAACCAAACACAGCCCTCGGCTTTTCAAGTCTTGTTTTGGCCCTTCCGATGACTCCTTCACTTCACAACCCTACAATAATCACAAGTAATAATAATTATTATTATTATTATTTCCCAACCAATAAATAATATTGCCGAAATTAATACGTAACTCTTCTGAACTTTATGTCATGCATAAACTTTTTTAAGCTTTGAAACTTTACAATAAATCCTCCTAAACCCTTAAATTTATGTACATAACTAATCCTCTAACTACTGGTAATTTTGGCCATCACTTGTCCACAGACAAATATATATTGAAGCTTGGGAGGTTTATACATATGCACATAATTCAGAGCTTGGTAGATTATGCATTCGCAAAAATATAATTTAAGGGAGTATATAATTGATGTTTAGGATTCGTCCACAGAAAATTGAATGTATAGACCATGGGTTTGCTATAAAGTTTCACACATTAAGAGAATTATTTTATATAGTTCAAACACAATTTATGGTTAAAAACAGAGTTCAGGGCAATTTGTTTTGCGTAATTTAGCCTATAATATAAAATTTAGCATATAACATTGTATGCACTATTCAGGAGATTATGGGGAAAAAAGAAGGGGAAAGTGTGCATGACATTTTATCCCGGATTGTGCTTCTTTAGAATAAAGAAATACCACATGAAATTTAATAGAGAAAGTGAGAGAAAATAATAGAATTAATTATGATTGGAGTTTGATTTTTCCATTTCTCTGTTTAATTTTTGTTAAATCCACTCTTTATTCTCTCTCTATCTCTTTAAATACATATACTGTGCATTCAATAATAGAATGCACAAGATTCAGACTTTAGAAACTTGTTTTTGATATCTGTACAAAAATACAATTTTTGATAGGGACTTGTAAAGAGACTTTAATCAGTATATCGATGTATCATTTGCCAAAAAGCAAAAAGAAGATAATATCAATATTTCAATATGTCAAAACTATATATAATGACATTCATATCATCAAACAATATTTAGGCTCAAGGCGTGAGCAAATCATAATGAATAATGTGTCTAGTTATATTTCAGACTCTCTAAATTCCTTCGGAAAACGTCTATGTAACTTTTTGGGGGGCGTGGGGACCATTACGTTAACCTCTTCAATAATTTTTTCAACTTATTTTGAACTTAAGGAACAACATGCCAGGAAAGTTTCACCATTCCGACAAAAATTATCACTGAAAATCTTAAATTTTCAGAAGTTATGAGAAAGTAGAGGGCGGAAGTACCTGCTGGCAGTGTTGGATGGGAACTCCATTTTTCATGTAAGGAGTGCTCAAAACCTGGGATTGGCATTTAGAAGAAAAAGCTCAACTTGTTAGATAAGTAAATTACTTGTTCATGAATAATTATTTAAACTGTATGGCTTTATCAATAATTAGGGTTTGAAAGTAAGGAAAAAAGGAGAGAGCAAAATTATCATTAGAATAATGAAACATACACTGACTTGTTCATGCAGGAACTTGATGTAGTCGATGGCTTCGTGAAGAACAGATGCAGTGTCAGTCTATGAAAATACACACAAAAAGTGGGTTAGTTTATTTCTTTCTTTCTTTAAATCTAATCTTCAAAGTTTCAACATTTAAGTAAAGCAAAGGTTGTTAATTTAACTCTTCACAATACCACAAATAGTAAAAAGTGAATCAAAGAGAGACACTTCGAGAAACAAAATTCACCTTTCCGAAAGGCGACACCAATTGCTGAAGAGCAGTGATTCGGTCCCCTAGCTTCTCTTTCCGAACCTAATCATCCATAAACACACCTAACTAGATTAAAAATCCAAGCAAAATTATATTATGAAGATTGAACAAATCAAAATTAAAACCCCTTAACTTTTTGTAACCAACACAAGTTCATAAGAGAATCACACTCGAAAAGCTAACTATTAGAGTTGGAGAGCCCAAAACCTTATAAGATTGTTTTTCTCAAGGTAAATCCCAATGTAGGACTCCTGACTTTTTTTTTCTATATTAAATCAAAATATATTTGACATTCAAAAGTTAGATTGGATTCCAACTAATCCTAGTTAAGATGGAAATATAGGGCCACAATAACAGGAAAACTATCCGAATGAGTTTTAAACACAATTGCATACTAAGGATTCAAATAAGCTATAATACAACCTCTTACTAGTCAAGCTATGTATTTGTTAGTGAACTTTTACACTAATGTACCTTGAAAGTTGGTAATGGCGATGGGGTTTCAATCCTTTGCTTCTTGATTGCAGGTTCACACGAACCTTTCTTTGCCGACTCCGAAACTTCTTCTCTCTTGGGCTGTACTCAAACCAGTCAGGAACCAATATAATAAGAAAAACCATCATAAGATTATATAGAGAGTTACATATAAATACAGATAATATATATACCTTGGGTACGAGAGAGCTTGTGAAATTGGGTTTCTCAGTAATTAAAGGAGCAAAAACATGGGGTGTTGTTTCAGCAGAAGCATTCCAGAAAGGAGTACAGTTAGAAAAGTGCAAGCCACCACCACTAGACTTCAAGAAGGGATTGTTATTATTAGAGGGTCTGGACCAAGAAGAAGAAGAAGAAGAAGACGAAGTAGTAGTAGTAGTAGTTGGTGAAGGCATGAATTGATCAGTGGAATTAGATATTGCGCCATAATTATTTGATGTACTTGAAGAATAGGCCATGGAAGATGATTGTGGTATAGGAGGGTTGGTGAAAAGTGACTGTGCTGCTTGAGGAATATCATACAAACTTTGAATCAACGTCGAACTTGAAGAAACTGGAACTGACCCAACTGAGAAATTACCACCACCACATAAATCTTGATTCTTCATCGACATCTCTCTCTTCTGATCTTGGCTTTGTGATACAGAATTGCCGCTGAAAATTCAAAAATATAAAGGATCTAAATATACATATATAGATATGATTAAGCTGAGATCTTTTATCTGATAATTAAGAAAAAGAAAGAGAGGGGAAAGAAAGAAAGAGAGAAAGAGAGAAACTTTTTGAAGCTTGGGACCAGAGACCAGACATGAAGAACAAACTTACAAGAGAGAATGATTCCAACCCATGATCATTTCCAAAGAAGAGGAATCCATCAAGATAGAACCATTATTATGATGATTGTCTGCAATATCAGGTTCTGCAGTCTGATGATGATGATGATGATGATGATTCTGAAGCAGTGGCTTCGTCGTCGTGGTTGCATCGAGAAACCCCAGAGAGGTGGCCGGCGCCGTCGCCTCCGCGGTGTCTGGGGCCTTCAAGTCCACCGTATCCGTCTGCCATGTGCTGTAGCCAATCATACCTCCGCCTCCTCCAGAAAGATCGTGGTTAGCTGTGAGCACAGAACACGGAGATGAACTCAGCATCGAAGGGAAAACACTTCGCGTTGTTGAGTTCATCATCATGTTGTTATTGATCCACCAGTAATTATTCCCACCACAAATCCCAGCTTGAAATTCCTCACCCATCTCTGATTATAGTTTCTCGCTCTGTATATTAGAACTCTCTGTTTAATCTTCTGATGAGGTTTAATTCTTCTGACCTGTGTGTGTTTTTGTTTGAGGGCTTATAAATGGGTTTGTGTGAGAGACATTTTATATATGAAACGGTTCAAAAGGGTACGGACGATAGAGGAGATTACCAGAATCGGATTGACATTGCAAGGGAGATGATTGGACAAACGAGGGGAGAGAGAGTGAGAGAGAAGAATTTTGAATCCTATTCTAATTCTCTCACTATTTTATTTTATTTTGATTATTTTTTTCCCTCGGGATTTGTCTTGCTTTTGAGAAATTATATAATAAGATTGGGAGAATTATTATCCATGTCTTGTGGGAAATTTGTGTTGTTCCTTATGTATAAAGGAATAGGGAGGGTATGATGATGTTAGATGAGGATGATGGTGATAGTGGTGGGGTTTCATCTTAAGGCCATCAATCACCAGATATGTATTAAAATTAACAGATGAAGTTTTCTTATTTTTAATTCAAAAGGGGAAATAATTATAATAGAAAAAATTAAACTATACTCAAAAAATAGTTCTCTGCTTTTTATTTCAGCAAAAGAAAATTTATTGTTATTTTTTGAAAAATTCTTGAAAAGTTTTTGTTTGAGAAGCATTTTCACATTAAAAAGAAAAACTTGAATTTAGCAGGTACAACTCATTTTTAGTGAATAAATAAGTCTATTTTAACTGTATCTGTACAACATATTTTTACCATGTGGAAATGTCTTGCTTGCGTTTTTCACAAGTTGAAGATAGGTTACACCTGGCTGAAGATGAGTTGCACATAGGTCTATAAACAAATTTAAAGGAATTGCATATATTTCAATGGTTGATTTTTTTTTCCCAGCAATTTTTCTAATTTTTTGTAAAAAAAAAAAACCTAGACTGTGGTCCATGCAGCCTGCGTTAATTCGCATTGTCCTTAACATTTGCTCTTTAGCTTTTAAGAGATACAGAAATTATGATTATTTAGTTTTTAAATATTATAAATATGACAAAAGAATTTAGTTTTTATCTCCAATAGCATAATTAAATTGGATCATTTGAAAACCAGTTTAAATGAAAAGAATTGGAACCCCAAAAAAAAAAAACTTAGAATTAGGTTGAAATACCCCTACTATTAAATTGTCTTCCAAATCAACATAAAACCATCAAATTCCTCCGTCATTAGATATAAGTCCTAATTTTATCACTCTCCTTTTATTCCCAAATAAAACTCACAATATAAATTTATAGATATAATTAATATTTGTCTCCAAACATACCTTTTTAGAAATAACTGATACTCTTGTTTCTAAATAGTCAAGGTTTAAAATATTATGAATTAAATAAAGGGTGAAAATAAAAAGGAAAAACTATTTTTTTTATAGGCATAGTTATCCTCTTGTTGGAGACAGCTTGGTTTGAGGCACTGTTAAGTATTAAATATAAGTCTTGCTATATGAGTATTTTTGTATATTGTCTTTTCTTTTGCCAGAATTTTATATACTGTTTGGAGGTATTTAATTGTGGTGATGAAAATATATGAAGTCTAATGAAGAAGAATAATTAAATGACATACAAATGCAACTAAATCCTTGTGCAATTTTTTCATGAAGTATATGGATAATTGACATTATTTTATAATGAGAGTGTACGCTTTGTAAATATTAAAATAATGGAGTTGAAATAACTCACCCAGGAATTATTCGAATAAAATGTTCAGTTGTTAGTGTGTGTGTGTGTTTGTGTGTGTCATGATTTCTTAAAGAGAATTTACAATTATTTTTCTTTTTTGACGCGCGCGTTAGATAGAAATTTATATAAACCTTCAAACTATCAATTAGTTTGTTGGTCGAGAATTATTATAATGCAAAAGAATTTTACCCTTTGCTAAAGATGAAAGGTCCATTCAAGTGGTCCAAGTTGATCATTACATTTGTGTGTCTTTATATATATAATTTATATGTATCTGTATGTATATATGTGTAATATTATATATACACTCTATGCGTAGCAGGTAATGAAGCAGAGTTGTATCAATTTTTCCAAAGGCCACGCTGGATAGCCAAAGCGCAGGATGGAGGCGCGTGATAGACACGTGAGTTGGAGAAACTAAAACGCTAACTAATGCTTGACCTAACACAACTGTAGCATAGATCAAGATTAGATTTCATGTCAACCTCTGGTCAAAGGCCTTATTATCCTCTTGATTTATTTAAATTTTCTTCAGACAGTTAAAATGTTCACGTTCTAATAACTAATATTAATTTAATAATTCAACTATGTCTTTTTAGTTGAAATGGTAACTTCTTTAAAATAAGGAGAAATTAATGCTCAAAAATGCTCCTAAACCGAGCCTGTAAATCCCAAGAAAGAACACTAAAATAGTCTAATCATTATAAAGTGATGAGAAACTAATTTTGGGATTAAATTTTTTGGAGAAATTATTTAAATACTCTTAGTTTGAAATCTAAAAATCAAAACCATAATAACAATGGTATACAAACCTAGACCGAACTAGTCAATTCAGCCCAGAAACCTACGAACTAGCTAGGTAACTAGTCCAGTTGAGCAAGTAGACTGTAGTGAAATTGATCGAGGTGACCCAGTATAAATTGAAGCGACCTAGTTAACCTGGTTGCTTTTTTTTCCCCAAAAAAAAAACTATTTTAAGCCAAAACTTTTTTCTTTCTTAAGCTATTTATAACTATTAGTTTAGTGATTAATGGATTGTAGATAGCAATATTTTATTATCATATATCTATTTTGATATTTTGCTAGGATTAGTGCACAGTGAGTTTTTTAATATGATACTATAATATCAATTTGTCAAAGGAATTATAAAGAAGCTTGGAAAAAAATTGTAAGTATATGATTTTTTTTTTTTAATTCAAGGTATTAAATTAATATTTAGTCTTTAGATGGAATGATAAAATTTTAAATTTTTTTTAAATTTTTTTATTTTCCACTAGTTTGACCCCATATTGATTCCGACTTGACCTACTGACCCTTGATCCGCTATCTTAACTAGTTTTGTTTTCAATACCTTGACAATAACAGTTTAACAAATAATAACTTTGAATTATCAAATGATGATACTAATAATAAAGATAAGTGACAACTAATTTCATAAAAATGTTTGCTTATGCATTGACAAGTGTTAGTAGGTTGTGAATTTTAATAACATAGTTTAATAAGGGCAACAACTTTAGATGGCAAAAAACGGGTAACAACTTTAACTTATTAAATAATAATAATAATAATTAAGGTAGTAAAAACTAATTTCACTGAAATTTCAGCTTCTACGTTGATAAGTGCCTGTAGGTAATATCACGAACAGCACAACTATCTAAGACGTAATAACTTTAATTTCAAATAACAAGAAAAATAAACATAATAACAATTAATCTTATCAAAATTTCAGCTTCTGCATTGACATTAAACGAAATGTGTATCCCGTTGAATGTGTACATACACATCCACCGCACCTATTAATTTTTTAATAAAATATTTTTAAAATTCTTTTTGTAAACCATTACCTTATTGGTGTTTTATTCCCAAAGGAACAGGATATATACACTTTATTCCCCCGGGGGGGGGGATGTCAAATACTTCGCAATTTACATTGATTGGGTTGTTGGCAATGTGGACTTTTTAAGTTTTGGAAATACTAAATCATATGAGAAATACAAAAGTTGTGCATGATTACAACGTATAACAAATGGTACTAAAATTTGAGTCAACAACAAAATTCCAAGTTTATTATTATAACTTGCACGATAGGGTGAGGGCTATGACCAGTATTAGTTTATTGATGGATTATATACAAAAATAAGCTGATGGCTGGTTCATTTCAAAGTATACTCCACCAAGTTTATTTATAATTAATTATGTCCATATTTTCTATGAAGTTTAATTTCCTTGAAATTTCAAAGACGACACTGAAACTTGCATCCGACCTAACTTGGTTTAATTGGATCCAAGTCAACTCGTTTTATTTATTTATTTATTTCCATTTTTCCTTTTCTTTATGTCTTTGTCAATCACATTTTCAATTTTGTAATCTTTTTATTGTTTGATGGTTATGCATGAATCTAATTGTATTTGACTTAGGAGTAAGTATTTGAAGAAGATAACTACAAAATACAATATTATTATATAAGTCATCATATATTGCTCTTTTTTATTGGAAAACTTACAAAATTATATGGGTGAGTGTATATATTTTTCTGATTTAGTTTTTAACTTAAAATTTTGTTATTAATTAACAACTCTAGATAATTAGAATCATGCACATTACTATAGAAAAACACCATTTAATGTTATTATTTACGCAAGCCTTTTCAATCAATTTTCTCCCATTCAATTTCTTAATCTATCAACAAAGTATAACTAATTGGTTTTAAAACCAATATAACAATATTATATTGTAACCCTTTTTAGTGTTGATAATCATTACGACGTTAATTAATTACTTGTAATTTACTACTAGTACTATGAAGTGTTTCATTGTTTGTTTCTAGCTACTCGATATCAAAACCTTCATCAGATTCTTCATACTATCATCGTATAATAATGTGTGTGTGTGTGTGTGTTCATTTCTTAAATATTTGTTAAGGAAGTATTGTGATTATGTCAAGTCATTGACAAATATTTGTTTATATTAGTTCAACAAAGCCATCATTTTGGGGCCTAAAAATCCATACTGACCCAATTAGGTGATTGACTTATTAAGGGTACAACCAAATTGTTTAGTACATTGTTTTTAGACCTTAGTCAAAACGATGACATGCTTCTATATCACAATTTAATCTGAAAAAGATTGAACAAATTAAGCTTCAATTAATTGCCAAATATTAGGGTTGACATTTTGAAGAATTTGATTAGGTAAATGGGGTTTCCATTCTTTTCCCTTAAAAAGTACCATAAGATAATTTATTAATATAGGAGTTGACTTTTGATTAAATCTCATATGTATACCATATGTATATATAGCCCAACTTTTGAAGACCAGAAAAAATGCAATAACTTAAAATTTAAAACTCTCTTCATAAATTAAATTTAATGTGAAATAATATATACATTAAAATTTTGAATGAATTTTTTATATAATTAAGTTGACTCCAAAGTCGTGATATAA